GCCCCTATTTTTTCTTAATTTTTTTTTTTACTGTCTTGACGGTATTATAGAATTTCATATATGTCAGCTAGTAAACATTAAGTCCCTGAGAACAGTTTTTTCACCTGTGTCCCATCAAGAGCCTTGCACATTTTCTCCTCTCAAAAACATTTATTGTATCAATACATCAAGGATATAACATTTCAAAGGGAATTTAGGAAGAAAAAGACAAGCTAAATCAACATAAATTAGCTTTCAGCTAAATAGTTCATCGTTTAAGAAACTGCAAGACAGTGTAAGTCTAGGTTTATATAGTCACAATTTTTTCTAGAGATACCTGAAACTTTGAAATTTGAGGTGTCATAATTCAAGTGCAAATTATAATAAAATGTTCAGGTCATTATAGTCTAACTATATTAAGAACAAAACCAACAGACAAACTATTTATTTCATTTAGTTTCATTTAGACAAACATGTTATTTCATTTAGTCCTTATACAGCTCATCAATAAGAACTACTATCTTCCAAGTTAACTGATGATGAGACTGATACATATAGAAGTTAATTTGTCCATAGTCATACACCTTGTTAAACAATAGAATAGGATGCAAACTCAGGCAGACTACCTATATAAGTGTATAGCGCATTAGATAATTTCCTTTCCATTTGATTCTCGTAGAAACTTTATGAAGTAATTATCTGCCCTCATTTTACAGGTAAGGAAATTGATTCTTAATGAGATTAAATGGCATGCAGTTACTAAATGACAGATCCTACATTGCACTCTGTTTTGAAAGTCTGATCTCAAACCTTTTCTTCTAATTAGTTCCTCAGGGCTGGTGCAGTTTCCAAACTGTGAGTGAGGGACCCACTCTCCTAATTCCTCTACTTTAGTCAGTGTTGGTGAGATAATTAATTATGATACTGACTTCCTATCTGTACCTGTAGCACCTTTGTCCTCTTTTTCAGTTGACTTATTTTAACCAGGGCCTCCCCGGTGGCACAGCGGTTGAGCGCTGGGTTGCAAAGCTGCCCACAGCCTCTGCAGTGCTGGTTCGATGCCCGGCTGCTCCCAGGCCACCAGGCCAGGGTCCCACATGGTGCGCAGACCTCTCCTGCCGCCCACTGCTCCCCTCAGCAGTGTACTTCGGTCCTTCTGCCTGCTCTGCTCCCCACTCTGGCTCTGGTGAATTCTCTCACCCTCCCGTGCTTCTGACTGTACCCAGTGCTTGTATAAATAAATAAATAAATAAATCTTTAAAAATATATATGTTTTTTAACCAGTTTACAGTATTTCAAAGCAAATATTTTTAAATATTACCCAATTAAAATGAAATCCAGGAGCACATTCATACATTACTTCTTCTTTTTTAGAGAAACATATTTTGCAACCACAAAGAAAAACAGGAATTATTGGGACTGAGCAACGTAATTGCTTTTTCATTGCAAGTTACCTGAATATTAACTCTGAAAAACATTGTATGAAATACTAGTAGAGAATATGCAATAGCTACTACCTATAGCTACGAGATTTTTCTAATCCTCCTTTTGTGTAATCTTTTCCATACCTCTTTTTTATATATATATATAAAATACCTCATTATAGATATATCTGCAGATATATTTATTTAGAAATACATACTTATATATAAATATACCTGCAAATGTATTCATATCTGCATACTTATTATAGTACACAGCAAATGGTAAATTATATTCAGCTAAATATAAGTACAAATAAAGAAACGGTGTTATGTGAAATAAGTGCAAAAAGTTGTATAAAAATGGATGAATGTGCTTAGATCAGAGCTGATGTTCAACAAATGTTAGATATTAATAGCCATTATATCCAAGCAGAAGACCACTATCTTCTACAAATTTATTAGGAAGAACGGTAGGCGGTAGCCCAGAGGTGTGTGATATGCATTCAATTCACAATAAAATGTGATAACTGAGATGAGAATTATTTTTAAGGTTGACAGTGCAAAGAACAATTATTGATAGCCCACAAATCAGAGAAGACAATTCCAAGGATGTGACAGCTCAAGCTGGTCTCTAGGACACCACCTAAAGTTTCTTGCAATGATTCAGATGTGAGAGATATAAGGTCTGGATGGGTACAGGCCATGGAAACTGAGGAAGCACCTCTTGAAGAATGTATAAGTGTATCCCTGCTGATTAAAAAATAGATCCTTAAGTATTTTCTCCCATAACTATTTTATTGACTCTATATTGACAGATGCTTCCTGAAATTTTTCTTCTGTGATTCAAGGTCATGGAAAAAGAGACAAATATGAAATAATTTTCCCATAATCACATTCTATAAATTAAACCCAATTAATGTCTTAACCTAGTGGCTATTTCCACCAGTTTAGCCTAGGAAATGGTTTTTCTGCATTTAGGATTGTGAATTAGATAACGCTGTGTGTGTTGTCTCTCTTTGAGTTAGGTAACACATACGAATGACAAGCATTATGTTCTGTGTCATTAAGTACAAGAGCAAGCAGTAGATGTGGGGTAAGAAGATTTGTAAATACAACTGCAGAAGAGGAAAATTTTAAGCTCCTGGTTTTCATAAATCACCACCAAGAAAAAAATCTTTTCTATCTTGCTCATTCCCATTATATTTTCTCTCAAGGATAAAAATCTTGATTGGTAAGACATTTATTTATTAAAAATTATCTTTATCCCTGCAGTACTCCCAGAATAGGACTGGAATGTGTTGAGGAAATTGCAGTTCATGTCAAGAAAACAATTATAGGTACAAAGAGAGTCTGAGACTTAAATGCATTGTTGAATGGTTCATTTAAGGTGGGAATAATTTCTAAAAAGAGAAACAGAATAGAGGAAATGAAATATATGTCACATATTCACACCCCTTTAATCTCCATGTAATAGCAATTTGATTAGTTTCAAAAAGTTACTTCTAGGAAGAGTAACTTCTGTCTCTTTAAGGACCACAGAGAACGTGGAAGTCACTAATGAGTCCGTACTGGCTCCAAAACTGCTCCAATGAAGTCCTGGGAATCTTGCTGAGAGAATATTTGGGGCTGGGCTAAAAATCTGTGGGGAAACGGAAGGAAGAAAAAAGCAAAGTTAGGTGAGAGCATTCTTTAAAAAAAAAAAAAATTAAGAGAATTTTAAAATGAAAAGCTTGAGTACATTTAGTTTCAATTTTAAAATACAAGACAACAAAATTAAGTATAAAATACTGGATTGAATTAGATATACTACCGGATGTGAAACATTTTTAATTCCTGACAATGTTTTTGAAATGTCTTTTTAAAAAAAAATAACTACTGAGTAGATGGGGCTTATACACAATTTTACTTGCCCCTTCTTTAAATTATTTTTAAATTCCCTTTTTTGACTAATTTTTTAATTAAAATTTTGTTTTTATGCAGGTAACACTGGTTTACAACACTGTATGATTCACAGGTACAGGATCACACCTTTTGAGCTGCATGTTACCACAAGTAAACCACCATCAAAGCACCCATAATCCTCCACCATAGTCCCCTCTCCTGTTAGCTCATCACCCTCCCTCTCTCCCCAACCCCAATTTTATAGCCGGATTTCTAGGGTTAGTTTTTGGTTTGGTTTTCTCTGGTCTTTTGTTTTGTTTCTTTATATTCCACGTAATGATTTAAACCGTCCAGTATTTGTCTTTCCCAAGCTGGCTTAGTCCGTTTAGAGTAATTCCCTCCTTTCCTTCAGGTTGTCACAAATAGCTTATTTCTTAACTTTAAATGCAGGGAAATCACTTAAGATTGAGGACTTGGTATACAAAGTAGGGAACCACTTACCTTTCTTTTCAGTCTCAAAATCTGCCCTCTTGAGCTCCTCATGAGGATGAGGATGGAGGGACTGGAGCTCCTCTCCCTTCAATATATTCCATCTAACTACTTTCGTGATAAACTCTCCACAGAAGCAGCAGAAAGTTCTTTCGGGGGCAATGGTTGTCAGCCGCTCATGCTTTTCCCACATAAACCATCTATAATTCAATACGGAGTGCATTTTCCCTCTGGGTTCTCACCCCTTCATCCTCCCCCTTACCCGACCCCCCCATCTTGTCGTCCATGAACGAGGAATCTGGGTTGCGTGATTCTCGCCTGTGCTCACTTTGATGGTAGAAGACAATTTGAGTTTAAAGTTGGGCACATGAGCACGCAAAAGATTTAACAGTAGCCACCTCACTTTATTTCTTTTTTAAAAATATTTATTTATTTATGCATGTAGGAGGGTGAGAGGATTCACCAGAGACAGAGCGGGGAACAGAACAGGCAGATTGACTGAAATACACTCCTGAGGGGAGCAGCGGGCGGCAGGAGAGGTCTGCCGCGCCACGTGGGTAGCTCCCTGGCCGACTAGGGATCGAACTCGTGCTGCAGAGGCAGTGGATTACTTGATAATGCGGTGCTTAACCCCTTGCGCCACCAGGGAGGCCCCAGTAGCCACCTCACTTTAGGGAAGGGGCGCTGGAGGGTCCCTCCCGGGGAGCGCAACGCCCGGGCTTAGGTGCCAGGCGGCTACAGGGAGGGCAATCACCAGGGAGGGAAATGTGGGGAGCAGCGAGGAGACCCCTCAGGGTGGGGGCTGCCCTCTGCCGCGGCTCCCCTTCAAGTCCCCGTTCAAGGTGTCGCCACTTGCCCCTGTGCCCCCAGAGCGGACGACAAAAGACAAGGCAGCCCCTCAGCGAAGGCGGGCATCAAACACCGCGCGCAAGCGGCGCCAACACACGCACGCGCCTCGCTCCCCGGCGCTGACTGAGGCGCCGGCACCTCAGGGGGCAGAGCGAGGCCGCAGCCGCCCGCGCGCGGGCAGCCCGGGCGCCGCGAGAAGACAATGCCCGGCTCTCCGCGCCGCTCCCCGGGGTCGGGCGGCCCGAAACTACAGCTCCCGGCAGGCCCCGCGCCGGCCGCGCGCCCCCGCCCCTCGCGCGCCCCCGCCCCGCACGCCCCGGCCCCCGCCCGCGGGCCTCTCGACGGGACAGGGAGGAGGGAGCGAGGGCGGGAGGAAGGGGCGCCAGCGGCGGGCGGGATCCTGCGAGGCGCGTGAAGCCTCGCTGGCGCCTCGTCCGGCTCCCAGTCGCCGGCGGGCGCGGAGTTTCTCACGACCGGCCGAGTCCGCCTCCGTAAGTATCGCCTCAGGGGGCGCCGAGCGGACACCGAAAAAGTTAGCGCCGGCGCGGCCGCCGCTTTGTTCTCCGGCCGGTCGGGTGAGGCGGCCCCTCCCCTCCCCCACCGCCCCCCGCCCCCCGCGCGCGCGGCGGCGGCGGCGGGACCGGACCCCGCGCGGGGCTGGGCGGCGGCCGCGGGCTGGGCGGGAAGTTGGCGGAGGCGCGGCGGGAGGAGCGGGCTGTGGGCGCCGCGCGAGCGGGGGCGCCGGCGCGGCCGCCAGATGGGGCCAAGTTCCGGCGGGGGTGCCGGGGCCAACTTGGACGGAGGCCGGGCCCGCGCCCCCCGCGCCCCCCGCGCCCGGGGCTGCCGTGGGGTCCCGCACACGCACTCCCCGAGCCGGACCCGGGCGCCCCCCGCGACCGGATTTCGGGAGAAGCTTTTTCTTGTCATCACTTTGGCGGCGCCCGTCTCCGAGGGTGGGTCTGGCGCCCCGAGCCTGCAAACCCCCCACCCCACAGGTTCCTTCGGGGTTTTGCAAGTTGCAGCTTCGCTCCGAGCTGTTGTTCCAACTCGGGAGGGAGCACGCAGGAGAGCCGTGTTTCTTGGAGCAATAAAAATAACCACAGACGACTCGGTTGCCTGTTGTGTATTTTGTTTGAAGTCTTTGCAGTCGGAAGCATAGGCCTGACGCCCTGTGGCACGAGTTGGAGTCAAGCAACTGGAGTGTCTGGGACCTGTCTGTGGACTTTTCCAGACACAGATGGATGGCTGGACGTAACTGTCTCTTCAGCCACACCCATCGCCACAGGAAACGAGACTATCGGTGTCATCTTTGATTTTGAAGGATAAGTTACACTCTGAACTACCAGGTTGTGGGATACCTTCGTGAACCGTAGCCGCAAATGAAACAAAAACTTTAAAAAGACCGTAATTTGTATCTTAGAAAATGGCATTGCGTTAAGTCTGCAGCTGTCTCTATTTTGTATTTACTGCTGCAGTTCTTTTTTTACATTTTTAGCGACTGAAGTTTTGCTCAGCTCAAGCTTACGTACCGACTTCTGATACAATGAGGGCTGGAAATACCTACGGGTTTGCTGCTAAAGGCATCGGGGAAGTTCCCCCTGACCAAGTCTAGATCACTTTTACTTTGTAAAAGAGAACCCTTACTCTTTCCCGGGTCAGGATCTGGATGGAAAACAAACGTAGACATTTAGCCAAAACGAAGTTGAAAAATTTAATGAAAGTATTTGAAAGGTGTCACGGAAACCTTCATGTTGGGTTTTACTTAAGTCGATTAAGAGAGATGTGGTAGGCCTGGTGCCCGATCTTGGGAGTATTTGACAATCCAGTTTTCCTTCCAAGATTCTATACTTTGATATATAACATTTCACTTTTTAGGATCACTCAAATTCAGGAATGTTGGCTGGTTCGTATCATGAAAGTAATTTTTAAGCCTTTCAGGTAGCAGTGGGTCTTGTATACAATTTTGCAAGTTTTCATTTTCATCAGACGACAGCTTTCAAATAGAAATTTCTCTTAGTGGATTGATTCGTTTTCATTGAACACTGCCGCACACCCACAAAAGTAAAAAGTCAGACTTTGGATATTAAATTCTTAAGATTATCTAAGAATTGAAAAACTTCATACAGGAAAAAATATTAAAAAGGTCATTTAAGTGCACTTTTCTTACTCGTTCTCATTTTTTAAAAAGACATTCTTAAATTGATGAAGGTATTGCCAAATTGTAGTTAATTGCTTCTTTTTTAAATAAACTACTTTAAAATGGAACTTGATATATGGGGAAATTATTTGCTATACAAGTTTAAATTTGATTTAATAATAATCATGCATATGATTTGCAGGCTCCTATGCTGATAGTACTTTTGTCTCTCCCATTATGTAATTGAGTGGAATCTGTGTACTACTTTGGAGCAGTTGTCTCATTAGTGGAAAAACTTGAGATAGTATATTTAGACGATGTTTTCATTTTAATTTCAGTGTAGATAAAAGTTTTCTTACTTGTGTGTTTGGTTTATACTGGCAACATGAGAGAAATTGCTCGTTGACTGTTAGTCAATCAGGTTTCTCAGCTGTCACTAAAGCAAAGAGGTAATGAAGATATATCAAGCCCAGCCTAGGTTCATACAGAATTGCCAGACAGGCAACCTGTAATCTTATAAACAGATAAACTTTGTAGTTCCTGAGCAGACAGCAGACATGGTGTGCTCTTTTCAAACTCTGCAGCAGTGGAAGGACTTGAGATTCAGATACCTCTGGTCCAGATGAGCAGAAATTAATATTAAGCAGCAATAATTTAGTGGAATGCTGCACTCTTGGGAGAGTAAGTACATTAATTTAAGGAAATAGTTACATTTTTGAAAATATAGAATAGATGTAGCAATGACTATACAGGAGTGCTTTTAGAAAGCTGTTTGAATTTTTCATACAATGTGAAAGCAACATCAGAATTTTTAAGCAGTCAAGCCTGTATCAGGACATCTGCCTTCAGGACACTGGTTAGTATTGCATTGGAAAAGTCCACATGGTTTTTTACATGCAGAAGAGTACATGTGCATATCAACGGGGGAAAAAAAAAACAACCCTCTATTCATTAACGTTCTTAGCACACACAACTAAATGGACCAGGAAAACCCATCATTAGTAGGGCATCAAGTATTATTTTATTCTGAATAGGAAAAGCATTTTACTTCACTTGAGCCTTTACTAAGCACAAAAAGGACACTGATTATGCTAAATTATGAGCTTTCTTGTGAATTGTTTAGTAAAGGGATGTCTTTTGTCTCTTTGCTTCTTTCCCAACTTCCCTGACTCTTATTTAGCTTTTAGTCTTAACTTAAATACCTCTTCCTTAAAGACACCTTGCCCAAAACCTCAGTTGAAATTAGATCCTCTTCTGTTCTCTGTCTTACCACTTTTCAAAATTTGTCATTACCTTGCTGTTCTGTGAGTATTTGTTTTATGTGTGTGTCCCACATCATACTAAGCTCCAGAGAGGGCAGTAATGGTGTGTGTTTTGGTCATTGCTGTATAACTCCAGTGTCTCACAACAGTTTGGCAAATAATAGACAGTAAATATTTGTTGAATGAAAATGCTGCCCTTAGAGCTTCTAATTTGAAGCTTTGCTAAAATATGCGAGGGGGGTGGTGAGGGAGCAGGAGAGAAAAGTCCACTAACTTGGAGTATTACCATGGAATAACCCTCAGTTAAGTCCCCTAACCTCCATGGCCTCTGTTTTACCTTATCTGTAAAATAGGGCAGGTTGGGCTCAATATACCTTTAGTATCTTTTTGATTCCATTCAACAGTGGTGACAGATTGTATAAGCTCATGTGAATGAGATATGTGACAGAACTCCTAAGAATATTTATGATGTTTCAAATAAACAGATTATAAAGGCTTGCCAACTGTTAGCTCCTAAACAAACATATTTAACAGATGCAGTTTATAAATTAGTAAAATATGCTATTTCACTTTTCTAATTGATGCATAAAGGTAAAATAAAATAGACTTAGGTTTTTTATAGTCTTAATATTTTGCACACTCCATCTCATTGCATCTAACAGAACATAAACCAAGGAGGGGAAAACAGATGGGATGAGTGGGCAGACAAATGACAGTTCACTTAGATTCTTCCATTTGTACTCATGCTGCAACTTTAAAAAATATTTATGTAAAGGCGTAACATTTATATAATTTATTAATAGTTAGCAATAGTTTTGATAAATTAGTTGATTATATTATTGAACATTTCCTATTATTTGGCTAGTTTAACAGATAAAATAAAATGGAAATTTAATTGTGAGGCATCCATCAAAAATTATTGAATATAATAGTATTTTGTATTTTTAAATATTTAAACTGCGCTCAAAATTATTCATCAATATTTTTGTATATTAGTCTGAAGCTACCAGAGTGAGATATATTATGGAGCTCATTATCTCACACACAAAAAAACCCCTGTTCCATTGTTAGGTTGCTAGAGGTGGAGTGAAATAGTAGCACAAACATAGGCTTTGGACTCAGGGAAATTTTCAAATATTTGAAGGCCATTCTATTTGGTTTTATTAAGAACATATTTGTCATATGGCATTGTTTTTACCTTTATTTGAATGAGTGATTCTTTTTTTTTTTTTTTTAAGAAAAAAAATTGCTCTTAAAAATATGGGCCACAAAAATGAATATAATAGTATAACATAGGCTGACTAGCAGTGAGTTTACAGATTGGTTCTGATGTGCTGTCATTGTCCTGGGGGGTTACATTTGCATTAGCTTTTTTAGTCTTATACTAGATTAGCAGTTCCTATTAAACTCTTGGGTTGATAATTCCTGTCCTATGAACAGTTTATAAATCAGCATTTCTCCATTGCTGTTTGCACATCTAGCATTTTGAAACTAAATGCCAGACTCATTCTTACTATGTTTCACTTTATTTCTCCCAGATTTGTGCAATTTAAGGATTTTATTAGCATATCTAATATGTCTGTAGTATTCTAAAAATAATCAAGAACAACATAAGGCCAAAAATAGAGTACCATGACACTCACCTAAAGACTTTTCTCATCTAAATTGATAGAGAGCAGTAAATTTACCCAACTATACTAACATCCAGCTCATGCTTAAGCAACATATTTACAAAAAATAACATGGAAAATCACTACAAGTACTGTTTTGGCTAAAATACATCATATTTTCCTTTGACTCTAATTGTGTGATCTTGGACAAGAACTTAAATGTCTGTGACTTAGCTATAAAATGGGTTGTTGTGAGGATACATGGGGTACCACTTGTGCCTTACATATAGTTAGAGCTCAATTACCGTGAACTATTATAATTATTTCCTCCAGCTAAGAAGTCTAGTAATTTTTCCAAGATGTAAAAGCAGTTGATTTCATAGTATTTGTTTTAATCCATGCTAACATCTAGTGATCATTATATTCTTTTATAGGTGTATTCAAAAGCCATTTGATTTCATTATCTGTTTCCAGATATGACTAAGGATTAAGTATATATGTCTGTAATTTCTGAAATAATGCTTCCCCTTTCCTCCAGCCCACAAAACTTAAAACAACTCTGACCTTTCTTCAGTTTATGATTATTTTCTGAGCCCAAGAGTATAAGATTGCTTTGTGATTACCTTCCTAATTGCGCTTGTAATATGGAATGGACCTGAAGACTTGTACTCACAGTTGTTTTAGTCTCTCATTCACAAGACTCAGGTTTCAGTTTTCACTGCTCTTGTACAACTTTAATTTAAAAACAGAAGGTAAGCAAGATACAAGTTGAGCAATTCCGCCTTCTTTATGTGATCTCTCAACCTTAACAGAGTTCTCTCTGAGCAGTGATTCTCTCAGTTCCTTGTTCTCTTTGAGACAGAATATTTGGTAAGAAAATACGAAAACTGGGCCATATTCCCCTTTACCTTCTTTATAACTGTGTGATACTGGGAAAGTTTTTTGATCTGTTTGTGCTTCAGTTTTCTCATCTGCACAAATGATCATTTGATCTTTCATCTTTCAAAGAAATATCATGAGATGCTAAGTGGCATATAATGTAAAGTGGGATGATAATCATTTATTTGAATGTAGCTATACAGTTGGTTTTTTTTTTTTCATTTTTTATTTTTTTTTAAAGATTTATTTATGCATACAAGAACTGGGCTACAGGCCAGAGGCATGGGGGGTGAGAGGATTCACCAGAGACAGAGTGGGGAACAGAAAAGGCAGACCGACTGAATTACACTGCTGACGGGAGCAGCAGGCGAGTCAGGAGAGGTCTGCTGCGCCATGTGGGTATCTCCCTGGATGAGGATTGAACTCATGCTGCAGTGGTTGTGGATAGCTTCAAAGGTTGCGTCTTAATCCCTTGCACCACCAGGGAGCCCTGTTATCTTTTTTTAATTTTTATTTTATTTTTTTTTATAGAGGCATGCTTTATTTATTTGTTTGCTGGTTTCTTTGTTTGTTTTGTTTATACATGCACTGGGTACAGTCAGAAGCGCGGGAGGGCGAGAGAATTCACCAGAGCCAGAGCGGGGAGCAGAGCAGGCAGAAGGACTGAAGTACACTGCTGAGGGGAGCAGCGGGCGGCAGGAGAGGTCTGCGCGCCATGTGGGACCCTCCTCTGGTGGCCGGGGAGCAGCCGGGGATCGAACCGGCGCCGCAGAGGCCGCGCGCAGCTTCGCAACCCAGCGCTCAACCGCTGCGCCACCGGGGAGGCCCTGTTATCTTTTTTTTAAATAAAGATTTATTTATTTATACAAGAATTGGGGGGCAGGCCATAGGTGCAGGAGGGTGAGAAGACTCACCAGAGACAGAGTGGAGAGCAGAATAGGCAGATGGACCGAAGACACTGTTGAGGGGAGCAGCGGGCGCAACTGGAGAGGTCTGCTGCGCAATGTGGGAATCTCCCTGACCGGCTGGGAACTGAACCCTCACTGCAGAGGCTGTGGACAGCTTCACAGCTCTGCGCTCAAGCCAAAAGGCCCTATAAAATGGTTATCTTTAAGCAATGTTTTTCTAAGCCTTAGTTTTTCTTGAGCTTTGTCATTCCTGTACTACATTTTTGTTGTGTTACATTCATCCTGATTATTTAAACACATTAAGTACTCTCTGGGAGTCATTTTGCAACCACCCTGGATGCTTCATTAGAATTGTTCACAGGTATTGAGATGGAGTTTAGACAAATTCATCCCTTGTGAGCCATTTTACTTAGCCTTGGATGGAGTCATACTTTTTCCCTTCCTATTTTTTGAACCATCCTTCTATAAAAACTGATACATATTTAGTCATGTGTGGTCGTTTTGCTTTTAGAAACCCTTTGTGATACTACTTTCTCCTAAGGTCTTGTCATAAGTATGTCTTTCACACTTTGTTGGCCATCTAAGTGATGAGTATATCCCCTCCTGCTTCCTTAGCCTTCTGAAAGTAATGTCGAAGCAAGTTTCAGGAATCATTCACAGAATTAGACCTTTAATATAAAAAACATTTCCAAATTGCCTTTTCCATGACAATGTTAGCCTTACTTTTATTTTTGTCCCTTCCGTTCTCTCTGTTTTTGTTACAACTCAGTTATGTATTTATGGAATAAAAGTGTTTGATCTTCAAGTTTCAGGTATTAGTGAGGGATATTAGGAATTTTTTTTTTTTTGAGCAGGAAGTCCTTGCAAGTATGCGTACAGTGAAAATTATGGCTTTAACAACTAGACCCAGCAAATGATTACTTTAGGATTTATTGGTGAATTATTAACGTATAACCAGAAATTATTGTTTTAAAAATTATAGGGATGTTTGCATTTTTAAAGTAATGTCAAGTGGGTATAAAATATTAAAATTCTGTTTGTTTTAATTCTTTCCAGGCTGTCTCACCATTTCCGAAAGCATCAAGATTTTTTATGGACCCATTCATCAAATGAAATATACCTGTTCTATTTTTTAAAAACTTTGTACTTCATCATAGAAAAATTTACCCCTCAAATGAAAATGAGGGCAATTGAGGTGATTTAATGTGAGGACATTTGAGAAAGTGTTCCTTACATCACTGAAGTAAAGGTTAAATACTGAATAGACTAGTCCTAAACACTTATTTTTTAAACCAGGAGGATTTCTTCTTGAGAGAAAAACAACTTTATCCAGTATGTATTTTCTGAAATTAAAAGAGAGAGATAAGAATAGACTTAAAATAGATGAAGATGTTTAGTGAATTAGCAATGTTTACTCTTTTCTGATGAAGAAATTCAGTAATGTTAAATCCTTTCCAAAACCCTGGTTGTGGTCTTAAAGACAAGGCTCCTTTTAATGGGACTGTTATTGAGGGAAGTGGGACCTTTTGTTCATTCAACTGACAGTTGTAGAACTTGCAGTCATCGGCATGAGTGACTTAAAAGAGGAAATCAAGAAGCTTTCAACTAAATCCAAAAGTACAGTCATTTTTTTACCACTGTGATTTTAAAAGCCTCTTCATAACCATTGAACAAGAATTAACAACTATTTTAAAAGATTAAAGGAAGGCAGATGTCTGCAAACAATTCCCCTCCATCAGCTCAGAAGTCTGTATTACCTGCATCTCTTCCTGCTGTGCTTCCAACTCCTTCTCCGTGTTCAAGTCCCAAGACAGGACTCTCTGCTCGACTCTCTAATGGAAGCTTCAGTGCACAGTCCCTTACCAACTCCAGAGGCTCAGTGCATACAATTTCATTTCTACTACAGATTGGCCTTACACGGGAGAGTATTACCATTGAAGCCCAGGAGCTATCTTTATCTGCTGTCAGGGATCTTGTGTGCTCCATTGTTTATCAGAAGGTACTGTGCATGCCATTTATATCAATGTTTTTCTAATTAATAATGTTTCTAATGCTTTTTTCTAAATTATGCGTTCCACAATATTTAACACATATGTAATCAGTCCTTTATGTTTATATCCTGATTCTGAGCATTTTAGGAAGAGTCCTAATGGAGTATTGGACCTGAAATTTGAAATTTCAGGGTCTAACAACTGGAGTCAATATCTTAACTTAAAAATACTGGCTTATTTCTCTTTGAGAACAGGAAACTCAGTATAAAGTCAAGAGGACTTAAGAAATCACATTTGTTTTCAGAGAAAAGAATCAGGAAGTGGAGGGTGCAAGCTATCAAGGAGGTTTCCCAAAAGGATGGGATGCAGGGGAGCTGAGCCCTAGCTCCACACATTGTTCTCCCTGTGTCCTGTGTTCTGTTCTCTTTTTTATACCCTCTTCCTCCCCCATAGAGCCTGATGTCACCTAAAATAGCTATGTAATGTGAGAGCCACACACACACTCTCTCTTAAAATAGATAAATGTGTTCTGAATATATGAAAATTAAGGGTGGCTTTATTTTGTTTCTTATCCACCTACTCACACCCTATACCATACACCATTTTTTTTTTTTTTTTTTTAATAGAGGCATGTTTTTCTTTATTTATTTGTTTGCTTGTTTGTTTGTTTATTTATACATGCACTGGGTACAGTCAGAAGCGCGGGAGGGTGAGAGAATTCACCAGAGCCAGAGCGGGGAGCAGAGCAGGCAGAAGGACCGAAGTACACTGCTGAGGGAAGCAGCGGGCGACAGGAGAGGTCTGCGCGCCATGTGGGACCCTCCTCTGGTGGCCGGGGAGCAGCCGGGGATTGAACCGGCGCCGCAGAGGCCGCGGGCAGCTTCGCAACCCAGCGCTCTACCGCTGCGCCACCGGGGAGGCCCCACCATACACCATTTTTAAAGAACTTTAATTAAATGTCTTTTTTTTTTGTGGGACCCTCGCCGGCGGCCAGGGACCGAACCGACACTGCAGAGGCTGCGGGCAGCCTTGCAGCCCAGCCCTCTTTCTTTCTTTCCTTTTTTTTTTTTTTTTTTTTTTTTAAAGATTTATGTATTTATACAAGAACTGGGGTATGGGTCAGAGGCGCGGGAGGGTAAGAGAATTCACCAGAGACTGTGGGGAGCAGAACAGGCAGACAAACCGAAGACACTGCTGAGGGGAGCAGCAGGCGAGGCAGGAGAGGTCTGCCTCAGGTTTCTCCCTGGCCGGCTGGGAATTGAACTCGCACTGCAGAGGCTGTGGACAGCCTCACAGCGTGGTGCTCAACCCACTGTGCCATCGGGGAAGCCCTTTAGTTAAATGTCTTCAATAATCTTGATTCCATGGATGAAGTGGTATGTTCTCTATTTTACCGTAACATTATATAATTAAAGGTAGTGTGAATTGGTCACATTTCTTTTTTTTTTTTTAAAGATTTATTTATGCATAAAAGAGCTGGGGTACAGGCCAGAGAAGCAGGGGTGCGAGGATTCACCAGAGACAGAGTGGGGAACAGAACAGGCAGATTGACTGAAATACACTGCTGAGGGGAGCAGCTGGTGAGTCAGGAGAGGTCTGCTACACCATGTGGGTTGCTCCCTGGCCAGCTGGGTATCAAACTTGTGCTGCAGAGTGGGATTGCTTCACAGTGTGGTGCTTAACCCCTTGTGCCACCAGGGAGGCCCCCGGTCACATTTCATTTTTAATAAAAGATATAGTTCAAATTTGTTTCAGACAAATTAGTGTCCTCTGTTCTATTTTAAAAATTATATCAATGAGATTAATATTTGGATTCAGGCTCCTCATTTTATTGCTTCTCTTTCAGTTCATTATGCTTTACATATATGATTTGTCATCTTCTCATATAATTAAGTCAAAAAATGTTATGTGGTTTGTGAAAACCTCTGTTTCCTGTTCTGTTTTGTTTTTTTTAAAGATTTATTTTATTTATGCATACAAGAGCTGGGGTACAGGCCAGAGGTACAGGGGGTGAGAGGATTCACCAGAGACAGAGTGGGGAACAGAACAGGCAGACTGACTGAAATATACTGCGGAGGGGAGCAGCAGGCAAGACAGGAGAGGTCTGCTGCGCTATGTGGGTTGCCCCCTGGCTGGCCTGGGATCGAACTTGTGCTGCAGTGGCTGCAGACAGTCTCATAGGTTGCGTCCCAACTCCTTGCACCACCAGGGAGGCCCCCTGTTTCCTGTGTTTTAAGAGAGACCTGTTTGCTTAAAATGTGGCCTAAATTAAGATTAATTTTATAAATTTGTCTTTAAATATCTTTTCAGTTCCCTTTCATTAAATGTTACAAAGGGTTTTCACAAGTATTTTCACAACTAGGTTGTACTTTTTGATAGGTAAAGTTTTTAACTTAAAGGTTAAAGATGAAATTTTAACTTAAATACAATTTCTAACTTTAATACCCTTTTCTCTGAGTCCATGGGAACTCATAATTAAGGTTTGGTAGGGTCTATATTATTCAGTTTATTTTTGGAAATGTCAGCATTTTGGAAATGTTGATTTTCTATAGGATTATTTTGGATTTTATGTTACTACATAGTTAATGTAGATGTGAGAAGTGAGTCAGGTGGGTTAAACTCTTGGGAGACTAGATTAAAAAGTCTTAATTGGGCCTCCCTGGTGGCTCAGGTGGTTGAGTGTCGCACTGTGAAGCTGTCCGCAGCCTCTGCAGAGTGGGTTTAATCCCGGCCAGCCAGCAAGAATCCCACATGGCGAAGCAGACCTCTCCTGTCTCGCCCACTGCACTCCTCAGCAGTGTATTTTGTCAATCTGCCTGTTCTGTTCCCCGCTCTTTCTCTGGGGAAGCCTCTCACCCTCCTGCGCATCTGGCCTGTACCCTGGTCTTGTATAAATAAAATAAAATCTTTAATAAATAAATAAATAAATAAAAATAAAAAATCTTAATCTATGCAAAATGCAAGTGATGTTGAGGAAATTAACAGGCTGTAGCTCAAAAAACAATTCAGGGTAAAGTTTATACAAATATGAAATAGAATTATTGATTATGGATATAGCTAACCTAAAACAAATATTATAATGAGCAGATTTTGAATATTACAGTGATACAGGGATGTATTTGGCAAAAATATATAGCACACTTATGGCATTAACACTATATATTCCTTTTGGCATGTATTAGAATCCAACATTATTTAAGTGTAGTGACTAAGAGTATTGAGGTTGGATATTATAATTTATTTTTGCTACTATTTACTGAATAATTGTGGACAAGTGATTTTACATCTGTGGATCAGTTTCCAGATGTATCAATGATTGAGTTAAGATGACTTAAATAGTGTATAATTCCAGCTGTGAAATTTTGAATTATTCAATCTAAATTGTATCTTCACTGCTAGAGACAGATAAGGAGAAAAAAGTTTCGAAGTCCTAACTGGAAAGAAATCTTAGGGAACCAACTCTGATTCTGAGTTTTATGAAGAGGTTTCATGGCTATCTTACTCATTTTGAAGATGGAAAAATTATGTCAGAAGTTCTTTTTACCTTCTCTCTCTTGTATTTGACACTTGCAGTTAGTCATTCACTTTCATTTTCTACACATGCGCAGTTCCTGGTTAATTTCCAGGACTCTCACAGGTATATTTGCTGCTTTTATTTCTTTTTTTTTTTTTTTTTTTTTAATAGAGGCATGTTTTATTTATTTATTTGTTTGTTTTGTTTATACATGCACTGGGTACAGTCAGAAGCGCAGGAGGGTGAGAGAATTCACCAGAGCCAGAGCAGGGAGTAGAGCAGGCAGAAGGACCGAAGTACACTGCTGAGGGGAGCAGCGGGCGGCAGGAGAGGTCTGCGCGCCATGTGGGACCCTCCTCCGGTGGCCGGGGAGCAGCCGGGGATTGAACCAGCGCCGCAGAGGCCGCGGGCAGCTTCGCAACCCAGGGCTCTACCGCTGCACCACCGGGGAGGCCCTGCTGCTTTTATTTCTATTCTTAGTCAATAAAGATGATTTCTCTAAAGATAGGGCACTGGTTAAATTTTAGGTAAGAAAGACTAACCAGACATTGTCTTTTCCCTCTAAAAGCTTAGTTTAGGGAGGGAGAATAATGTCCACCAGTCGAGTGGACACCTGCTTTACAATGCTAACTTGTTCCACAGTTGCAGTCCTATAGTGAAAGTTTTGTGAACCCAATAATACATTTATAGAGCATATTTTGCTCTAACATGGCATAATTTGAAGATTCCAGCACATAACTAAACTTATATAAGTCTGATTTATACAATAAAGGAACTAAAATACTGAGAGAATTTTGTTTTTATTGACATTGAAAAAATGAAATTAAAATAACTTAAGTTGAAAAAGGTCATTTCAGAGTTGCTTAGAGTTTGCTAATGAAGTGGGTGGGGAAAAACAAAATCTCTACCAGTTCACTAGCTTTATACCTTCATATGCTTTTTTATGATTTCTTGTTTTAATTTACTTGAAATTTTCTTTTAATGTGCTCTTTATGATTTTTTTTAAAAGATTTATTTATTTATTTATACAAGCACTGGGTACAGTCAGAAGCGTGGGAGGGTGAGAGAATTCACCAGAGCCAGAGTGGGGAGCAGAGCAGGCAGAAGGACCGAAGTACACTGCTGAGGGGAGCAGCGGGCGGCAGGAGAGGTCTGCGCGCCATGCGGGACCCTCCTCCGGTGGCCGGGGAGCAGCCAGGGATCGAACTGGCAGTGCACAGGCTGTGGGCAGCTTCGCAACCCAGCACTCAACCGCTGCGCCACTGGGAGGCCCGTGAATATTTAATCTTAGTGTAATTTATATTTTAAGTGATTTGATCACACAGTAGACGAGATTGTAAAACAGTCGTCCATTGTGTAAAATGCAAAAAGTAGAAAGAGAAGTGAAAATAAAAAGTGCTCTTCTCAAATTGATAACAATTGTAGGAGACCTCATATAGGAAGTAACATTTAATCTGATACTTAAAGAATGAACAAGATCTCAATAATTTCAGA